TGGCGAACTTTATATATTCCGTACTCTCAAGACACGACTCGGAATTTGACACACGAATCATTTGAGAAACAAAGTTGGGGAAACCCTATTTCTCAAGAGAGTAACAATTAACTCTATTTTTCTATATTTAATGATAATGGTTTCATGAGTTTATATAGAACCCAAGTACATTTTGTTAAGGAGATATAACTTTTCATCTATAAGTATACATCACTTATCAAGAGAATACACCTAAACAACATAACCTTTCTAAGAAATTGGTTAACACTATTTTTCATTCAATTATTAAAATTATATATTACAATATTTCATATTATAATATATAATTTCCAACAATCCCCCACATGAATGAAAAATCAGGAAGAATTTGAGAGTACAGGCGGACAAGAGATGCATCGGGAGAGGTGTCTTTTGGACTTGAACCTACCCTAGTGAATATTTATCGGGTTTACTTGGTGACGCAGTGGATGTAGAAGATCTTGAACTGTTCACCGTAGCAGTAAACCGAGACAATAAGCAACACACATCACTAATCCTAATATATTCTGGTTCATACGGTTGTGTTCATTTTGGTCCTGAACAAATCCCAGATTCATGAGAGCTTTAGAGAATTTAGCCATCTCATACTCATAGAAGCGACCCACTTCTACTCTAGTGAAACTGCCGTTTAAAACTTTGAAACGCATGCATATTGTTGTGAAAATATTGTTCTTGAATTTCATTAAGAACGAAATGGGCAGGTTGTTAAGCTATTGTTTATTTAATTCTTTTGCCATTTAACGTTACTGTTGTTGGTTCAATACTCTTAAAATTAGACATGAGAATGGCGATAAGTTCTTGTGATATCTGATTGTAAGATGCATATATGCAGGGCGTGCGGATCATGCATTTCTTACATACTTTGGCATTATACAGTTAGTTTATGCATTAATCTAGATCACTGAAGTATAATTCTAGATACATGTTTCTGTGAAATACATGATCAATTATATATAAATGTGCAGTTAGTTTAAAAATAACTAATTGTGGTGTTTTCAATTTCTTCTGGAAAAAAGAAGAAAATTGAGATATTGAAGCATGAAGATATATTGCAAAACTGTCGCTAATCAGAAATTAGGAATGATGAAAATTACATGATATAATATTCTTTGTATGCTTTTATGCTTAAAGACCTTCATGTAATATCTGAGTTATTTTTGTGTCAATCGGTTATGTTTGCACATAGATGGATGAAACAATATGACTATTCGCTGACACCTCATAGGCACATGCATATCCCTATCAGTAAGATTTTACTTATGTTAGGCATATCATGGAGATCCATCTACAAACCATGTTTGACGTTGACTCTTTGTAGAAGAGAATTGTTGGTTACCAAGTGAAATTTTATAGTTTAAAATTTGTATCATCTACAATAAGTGCAGAACGGCCATTGTGGTGTACTGGGTTTAGCTTGGATGTTAGATGTGGTTCTGCCAAACTCGTAGCAGTTCTTGGAAAAGTTCCTTTTGCAGAAAGGAATTGCATCTGTATAATTGATGCAGTTAATCCCTATTAGGCAGATGTGCGAAGGCTTCAAGGCCATAGTGAATTATCTCAGAGTTTTAAGTGAGTTAATATGTCCTTGAGTTTTACAGGATAGTTCCGTATAAATGGAAACTATGTATAATGGAAACCACAAAACTGGGTTTGCCATAAATCGGGAATGGTCTAGACTAAAAGCCAAGTCCTTTGAGAACAATAAGACACCAAAAGTGTGGGGATCTTTTGTAACTTTGCAGAAAGACGTTATGTTGCTTATTTAGTAAGCAATGGCAACCAATGAGTGTGTTTTATCAATGGTTACTCATGGTAAGAAAGCTTTTGTGATAACAAAAGAAGATACTGTATTCAAATTAAATCTTTGAACTCATTTTAGATGAGTTATTATCATCTTGAAAAGACGATGACTGGATTAAAAGTGTGGAGGTCTTTTTTTGAAAGAAATGACAAGACACTAAAAATGTGGGAGCATTTTGCAAAATGCATTAGACCCAATATGGCTTTATAATAAGCAAGCGTGGGCTTGGATATTTCATGTTAGTCATGTATGAAACCAAAGCCAATTCCCTTGAGAAGAATTAGACATTGGAAGTTTGGGAATACCTTGCAATGATAAGAGTTTTGCTTTCTCTTGTTACTAGTCATAGCGAGGAAGAGTCAAATGAAATTTAAGATCAACATTCTTTGGCGGGGATTCTAGTCCCATGATAATTTAAAAACTCAGATGATAAAGTGTGAAAGCCTTTAAAAGCTTTTCCTGTAACAGCTTAGTGAAGCGTGAATGCCTAAAAAGATAGATAAAGTCTATCTTAGTTGTTCATTACTTAAAGTGGAAAATGTGATCGATTTAATGATAGCATTAAAAGAAACTACAATTATGAAAGAATTGTGGGGGTTGGTTAAAAGTAATTTGCTAATTGAACGACATTTAAGATGTCATATCTTGTAATGAGTACTTGTTTAAGGTATGACAAGATTAGAGATCTTCTTACAAATACCTTAAATGTGGGGGAGTTTACCCAAGTGCTTAGTGTTAGCAAATTACTTAGTAATTAAGTCCTAATATAATTTTGAGGACTTGACATTTCAAATAATGTCAAACAACTACTCTCGTATGAAATATAATTTCATAAGATGGATTGTGCACACCATTAAAGATAGTCAACCTAAATGGTACCAAATATTAAAGGTTTGACTAGAGAGTAAGTTGATCATCGAGGGGAATGAGGCTAAAGCCAACATAACTAATGAATCAGTCGAGCGGAAACCTAACTTAGTTGATTGGAGATCCCATGGTCTAAGTTCAATAGGCAAACTGGTTGGGCATGATTCAAAGAAATTAACACACTATATACCTCATTCCTATGATAGAAGAAGTGTGTTGTCTGCTGAAGTTTTAGGTTGTATATTTATACTTAATGACAGTGATATCTTATAAATAAGAGGAATAGAGCAGACTATTCTTAATCAGTGGTCACCTATGTGAGAGTAGAAGTGGGTCGCTTCTATGAGTATAAGATGGCTAAATTCTCTAAAGCTCTCATGAATCCGGGATTTGTTCAGGACCAAAATGAACACAACCGTATGAACCAGAATATATTAGGATTAGTGATGTGTGTTGCTTATTGTCTCGGTTTACTGCTACGGTGAACAGTTCAAGATCTTCTGCATCCACTGCGTCACCAAGTAAACCCGATAAGTATTCACTAGGGTAGGTTCAAGTCCAAAAGACACCTCTCCCGATGCATCTCTTGTCCGCCTGTACTCTCAAATTCTTCCTGATTTTTCATTCATGTGGGGGATTGTTGGAAATTATATATTATAATATGAAATATTGTAATATATAATTTTAATAATTGAATGAAAAATAGTGTTAACCAATTTCTTAGAAAGGTTATGTTGTTTAGGTGTATTCTCTTGATAAGTGATGTATACTTATAGATGAAAAGTTATATCTCCTTAACAAAATGTACTTGGGTTCTATATAAACTCATGAAACCATTATCATTAAATATAGAAAAATAGAGTTAATTGTTATTCTCTTGAGAAATAGGGTTTCCCCAACTTTGTTTCTCAAATGATTCGTGTGTCAAATTCCGAGTCGTGTCTTGAGAGTACGGAATATATAAAGTTCGCCAGAGTTCGAAGATTGAAGTGCTTTGACTTCGGATTATAGATTGTTGAATCCTGGGAGATGGACGCCTATTGAACTACAAGCACAAGAGTAGGGGCGAAATTCTATCTTTAGGACATTGCATTTATGCAAGCCTCAATCTCCAAGTTTGTCAGTTATTCTAACTTTCACTCTAGTAGTTTATATTAATCTCATATATAATTGATGTTGTGAATTTCTTTATGATTATTATCATTGGAATTATATTGTTATTTCTCATAGGACATTGCATTTATGCAAGCCTCAATCTCCAAGTTTGTCAGTTATTCTAACTTTCACTCTAGTAGTTTATATTAATCTCATATATAATTAATGTTGTGAATTTCTTTATGATTATTATCATTGGAATTATATTGTTATTTCTCATATTTTCTATTATTGCTCCAACAATCTAAAGATAGAATTTCGCCCATACTCTTGTGCTTGTAGTTCAATAGGCGTCCATCTCCCAGGATTCAACAATCTATAATCCGAAGTCAAAGCACTTCAATCTTCGAACTCTGGCGAACTTTATATATTCCGTACTCTCAAAACACGACTTGGAATTTGACACACGAATCATTTGAGAAACAAAGTTGGGGAAACCCTATTTCTCAAGAGAGTAACAATTAACTCTATTTTTCTATATTTAATGATAATGGTTTCATGAGTTTATATAGAACCCAAGTACATTTTGTTAAGGAGATATAACTTTTCATCTATAAGTATACATCACTTATCAAGAGAATACACCTAAACAACATAACCTTTCTAAGAAATTGGTTAACACTATTTTTCATTCAATTATTAAAATTATATATTACAATATTTCATATTATAATATATAATTTCCAACAATGGTTGCGTTGGGACTTGGGTGACTTTTTTTTCTTTTGTAAGACATCAATGCTTAATTCCTTTTCAGACATATATGATATTCATCTATTAAGATCGAAATAGAATTCTCATTGCCTTTAACAAATAAAATTTGATATTCTGTTTGAAGTTATTATTAACACTAAAAAAATATCGTCATCATACTGTAAACATTAAAATTTCGGCAAATTTTCGTATTTACACATAGATTTCTCATTTAAGATATTTATTTAGGTGTAGTTTAAAGTCAAAATTTATGAATTGCATTATTTAGGTGAAACCTCAATGTTCCCTTTATCCCTTGCAACCAAAGAAAAAAGGGAAAGACAACGACTTTGGAGTGAAGGAATTCCATCCATACTTGTATAAACTATGTATTAAACTCATTTGTTCGTTGGATATAAGCGGCATATCATGTTGGCCATACTGATTAGTCATACTACTTTCTTTTCTATGTGCTTTTTTATTTTATTTTTTTAAATGAAGGCAGGTTTATTGCATAGCAAAGCTTCAACAGATTTACTAATATACATTCATCAGGATCCGAATCAAGGTTTTGCTGAATTTAGATACACCGTAGCTCTAAGTTCGATCTTGACATACGATCCTTCTTGTTTCTCAACCAAGAAAACTCCATTGATGATGACCGTGCCTGTTCCACAACGATAAGTTAAATCATAAAGTGAAGAACACCAAAACCAGAAAATTAGGATACCAGATCAACCACATACCACAAAGCAGCTAATCAGTCCATCAAAGACTACTAATTAACATGAGATTGCAGTGATGTTAAGATAGATTACGGCATTAAGATAGTAATGTAAGCATGCTTTAGCAGCAGGTGCAAAGCGATTGGTGGCATTTTTTTTGTACTTTGTATCGGTTTGAAAGATAACACAGTGCGCTGAAGTCCAAATGCATAAAAAATACATTGATTGTTAGTGATGCAGAGATGTCTTTCGGCTCCCTATTGTGTTTTTCACATAAACAAACTAAATCACAAGACGTGCCTGTAGAGTTGCTTTGATTGAAGTGCAAATTTGTGTCTCGTTGTTCATAAAACGCAAAAGCGTCATATGAACATACATGGCTTGAATTGTGATTGAGGTTATCTCATACCTAACACAGCATGATCTCTTCTTCAGTTCTTGTACTTCAAGGTTTCTTTCTCAAACCCAATTGTAGGAAATTGCTTAGCATACTCCTCAACATCATGGCGGAGCTTTGCAGTCTCAGATTGGAAGTGAGGGGCAGAAAGTGCGGCCACAAAGTCCTTCAACTTTGTACCTGGTGTACAGAAATGAACGAAATGCAATTCCATGTGAGTTGATGCAAGCACTACGATTACCCCACTTGTATATGAAAGGCAACTAGACAAACAAAAACTTGGTGAGCATGAAATTTATGATGTCAAATATTATTAGGAACCTTTGGCTTCCTCCTTGATCTTCAATGCCAAATTCACAGCAGCATCAAAAAAGTCTGCAACCTTAGCGAAATCCTCCTCAACAAATCCCCTAGAAGTAAGAGCCGGGGTTCCTGAATTTGCAAAAGAATTACCAAGTAAGGTTACTGAAAATCTAAGTAACAAAAGAGCAACTAAAACGATGAGAAGGCTTTACCCATCCTGATGCCACCAGGAACCATAGCAGACACATCTCCAGGAACAGTGTTTTTGTTGGCTGCAATGTGAACGGCCTCCAACACCTTTTCGACCCTGGAACCGTCAATTCCCTGAAAAATGAGATATCAAGTATATCAGTACATAATTCGTAACAGAGAAATCTATATGCTAACGCTATAAGCTTCTCGGTTAAGTATTACAGAAAAGAAAAAATGTCTATTACCTTGTTCTTCAAATTCACCAAAACTAAATGGTTCTCGGTTCCGCCAGAAACAAGTTCATATCCTTTCTGAGCCAAAGACTGCATATTTTGCCAATTTAGCTATTAGACAAATGTACTAGAAAGAGAAAATCATCAGCGAAATTCTAATATGTGAATAAAAGGATATGTCTAAAGTTATTCGTAATTAAGTATGAATGAATGTACAGGTGTAAGATCTTGTCTCAGTAACAAAGATTCATGCATCTGATAATCTGATACCTGGGCAAATCTTGAGCAATTGGTGAGAACTTGCTCCTGATAGGCTTTGTACTCTGGAGTAGTAGCCTACATTAAAAGAAGATTCGGACAACATGAACAATAAGATTTCAACATAATATGAACTGGAGGGAAGGAGAGTGATTGTGTAGAGCATTTAACTTAATCGGCACGTATACCTGTTTCAAGGCAACTGCCAAACCGGTAATTGTGTGGTTGTGTGGGCCACCTTGAAGTCCAGGAAAGACAGCTTGATTGATTTTGTCTTCGTAGTCGTACAACACCTTGAGGAAAGTATAGACATTTGGCCAGTTTGAAGAATGAATACATCAAATACATGAAAAATGATTACGAGTAAAATGCAGCTTACAAGGTAAATATACTCAAGTTTTTGAACCGTGATCTTTGGAAACTCACCTCTTGCCCTTGTTTGTTAGTCTCTTTTACCCCCTTTCTAAAAAAAATCATGGCTCCACGAGGGCCACGCAGTGACTTGTGCGTTGTGGTGGTCACTACATCTGCATAGTCGAAAGGTGATGGAATAACACCAGCTGCAACCAACCCACTGATGTGTGCCATGTCTGCCAACAATATTGCTTTCTGTTTGTTGCATACCTGTCAAGTACTTGAAATGTAAATCTTGGACTTCTCCACCATCACATTATAATTTTAGCACGAGGGCTTTTATTTTGAGATTTTCTACTATTATTATACAAATCCAAACAAGTTTACCTTACGAATGCGGTCATAATCATACAGACGTGCATAAGCACTAGCACCAGCAACTATTAATTTTGGCCGGTATAGCGTGGCACTTTTCTCCAACTGAAAATCATACTTATTCATGTCAATGAAGCTTAATACTTGCACAGGTAGAAAAAATTAAAAACACAGTTTATATAATATGACAAGCGAGACTAAATAGAATAAGATAGAATTCGTCTAGTGTAAACTTCATATAAAATGTTGCGGTTTAATTCATCCATCACAGCCCTGATTTAAAGGATGACTTTTCACTATTCCTACAGGTGAACTAGTAGGTTGATTTGCGATGGTTATTTGGCCTCAAATGTTCTTCATGAATTCCTCAGTCATGTCAAGGCCTAAAGAGGGAACATCCGTAAATCATGGCATTTTGAACAAGTAATTTCCTGCACCTATGTTCTGCAACAACAAAAAAGAGTTGTAATGCAAGAATCACTAGAACAATAAAATTTCTAAGCTACCTGGTCGTAGTCAATATAGCCGGTGCTCTCATTCAGTCTGTATGGCATGGTTTCGAAAAATATTGACACAGCAGATATCTTTTTAGTGTCAGTCTGCACAGTACCAAAACAAGAAGTAATGTAATCGCTATCAAACATTAAAACAACACAAATTAAAATTTATAAACAGTGTGAGTTTCAAATTTCTTCAAAGTTAATAGATGTTATAAGTTTTGAGGCTGATGTTACAACAAGGTATGAAATTGTTCGTGCCCACACTTCAGAGGAAATATTGAGCACACCCTTAGGTTTAAAATCAAGACAGATGAACAATGATCATAAATTGATATTAGACATTTCATCACACCAGTCACCGCTTAATGGAAGTTGTAAGCACCTGATAACCGTGAGAAAGATGACCACCGTGAGGAAGATCAAGTGCCATGATTCTGTCATGAGGTTTTAACAATGCAGTGTAAACCTGGAAATTAGCTGGAGATCCTGATAAAGGCTGCACGTTCACTGCAATGTAAAGAAATGACATCATGTAAAAGAAAGCTTTGTTTAAAACACAACTATTCAAGGTTTTGATTGACTTAAATTCATATTGTAGCTGTTTGACAACTGAATACATGGTTCCAGTGAGTGTTGAGAACTTGAGATGCATAGTTCACATGTATGCTTGCTCTAGACTTTGTAACAAATAGCAGGAGGCTGCTCATGAGACATGCCATATGAATTACCTCCCCATTTTGCTGGATCCAACCGAAAAGCTTCCAAAGCACGCTTCTGACATAAGGATTCTGCCATGTCAATGAACCTGAGAATATGAACAGTTGACTATGTAAACACTCTGCTTTCAATCACATAGTTTTGTATCTTGACCAAAGGCAACAATCGGGAAGCTTTCACATACTCATTTCCTCCATAGTATCTAGCACCGGGATATCCTTCGCTGTATTTGTTGGTCATGACTGACCCAACTGCTTGCATGACGGAGACCGAAGTGAAGTTCTCCGAGGGTATCAGCTCTAAACCCTTCAGAAATACAACAAAGAATTCCAAAAAGAAATGAAGTTAAAGCACATGCCAATACTTGATATGTATACTAAAGAACCAGTTACCATCATTAAACTTCTCACCAAGAAATCACGGAAAATGAAAGAGAAAATGTTTTAGCTGGGTTTAGTTCTCGACATACTAATAAAAGAAAGCATTTTTCACAATAATACCCATTACTCAATGACAAATAAGCCTAAAAACTATTCATAATAAAGTCTTGAGTTGATTATAGAACAAGATTATACCTTCCATTGCCTGGTTTTCTCGTGCTCAATGATATCCGCAATTTCGGGATCCACAGCCTCCAGTGGAGCATTCAATTGCTTAGGCCACTGCAAGATTTTCACAGTTTCACTATTCAGAAGCAAAAGACAAGAACAAACAAAAACACAAGCCAATATAGGAGCTTACAGTGACACCAGGCTTCTCATAGACAGCTTCATTGGGCAAAGATGACTGTATAATGAAAACAGACAAATGGGTAAGTGGTGAAGTTATCAGACATTCAAAAAAAGTTCGAATCCTCATATCCTCATGCCCGTAGTTTAGATTAGATTTATTAGAATATTGCTGAATCAAAAAACAGAAAATAACCCAACAAAAGAAAGGGGTAGTAGAAAAACCATGTAATAGTGAGAGGTGGCATTGAAGAGGGGACGAATGGACTTATCCCCAGAAGCTGAAAGCCTGCGAAGCGCCAATGCCATCGCCATGGTTGGTTAGTTTTCCTCACCCTTTGGCTTCTGCGTTCAGTTGGGTGGTGAGGTTTTGTCTAAAAGCTTAAAAGTTGAGGTTTCATTGTCAAGTTGTCAACTGTAAAAAACAAAAACTGGATTTTTGTAAACTTGTAACACAATTATGTGGGGAAAATGAGTTAGGAGAAAACCATCCATGAGAGGCCTATCCGAACTTGTCATTTCTCAGCCACAAAGGGGCTCTCAGCAGGATATAGCCTGATCGGGTTTTTTGTGTGTTTTGTGAGATATATTTGGCCACCCAAGCTTTTTGAATGGATCTTGCAGGAGAGAGGACCTCACCAACTCAAGTGTCATTTTCCTAGAGCTGTTGGAGGTAAATCTACCAATATACCAAGTTTCATTTTATATTTTTTTATTGTAGAGCTACTTACAATGACCTATTACCAAAAAATTATAATGAACTATTTGTCGATTTGCCCCAAACTTGTATAAAATTGGTAATTTATTTGAACTTTAAATTTCGCCGATTACTCTCCTGAATTTTTGTAAATAGTCAATTTCTCGTGACGTTAGATTTTGAAAATTTTGAAATCTAACCTCAATTACAAAATACATCCCAATGTTTAGGTACTTTTTTTTTTTTGAAAACATGTTTAGGTACTTTTAGCAAAGGACTCACTTTTAGCAATGAAAAAATGCAAGGATTCAAAAACAGTGGTCTTTCAGGGCATTGGATCCTCTCCTGAGCTTGGGCTCAGGAGCCTTCTGACCAACACACAAGAACTGTTGGATTTTGATCCAACATCTACAATTATTATAATTTTTAGAGGACTCCCTGTTTGTAGCCGTTGGATCAAAATCCACCGGCCCTTGTGTATTGGTCAGGAGGCTCCTGAGCCCAAGCTCAGGAGATGATCCAATTTTGTCTTTCAGGTAACGCAGGTTGTGTTTTTGTCCCTCTATTTCGTCTTTTTTTTTTGGTTGTTGTTGTAATATTACATATTACAATGTGGAGTCTATTCTTATAAATAATTTGCCTAAGTTGGGATCAGAATTTCTTTATGGCTACATGGAGGTAGTGATAAATGAATAACCTCCATTAGTCATAAAAAATTCAGGCTCCAATTGTGCCAATTATATATAGAAATAAATTATACATAAAATATTATAATTTTTTCAGTAAGCCAAGAAGACCACACATTTATACCATATTAGTGTATCATCTTATGCGACAAGTGATGCATCCAATTAGATAAAATAATTAATTGACGTGATATGTATACATCACTTACCACATCAAATGATACTAATGTAGCCTCTTGAGCACTTTCCAATTTAATTAGTTCTCGTAAAAAAAACTTGTCTTCACATATTGGTAATTGTGAATAAGCCTAACAATAAAAATTTAAGATGCAATAAAATATGGCTTATTATCTTAACACCCCACAAATTGTTGAATAAACCTCACATACTTAATACACCTCATATTTGCTTTTTCACTTAAAAATTATCTTAATACACCCCACTTACTTTCCTGTAATACCCCCACACCCCACATTCTTAATATACACCTTATATTTTCTACATACACCCCACATTTTCTATACACTCCACATTTCTCAAATCTTATAACATTCATTTTTAATTTTCAGGGACTGAATCTAAACATTTGAATGTTTAGTTTGCTGAATGATTTCAAATCATCTGAACGTTTAGTTTGCCGAATGATTTGAAAAATGTTTAGATTCATTTGAACTTTTTCAATAATGGAGAGAAAAAAGGTAAGAGTTTTATGGGATTGGTGCAATGGTAATGTTCTGGATGGTTTGTCTAGAAAGAAATACCAGGATGTTTAAGCATAAATTTGGGGACTGAATTAAAAAAAATGAATGATAAGTATTGGGAATTGTTTTGGGTCTTGGTTTCTAATGACTTAAAGAATTCCCTTTCTTGTTGAATGTGAACATTTTCTTTGATTTCTCTTGACTAGAGGGTTATGTGTCTTTTACCTGTGTTGATGCACAAAATCGGAGGGGTCTTGGAACAACATAAATCCGACCGTGAATCTGCAAGAAAGTAAATAACACAAGATGTATCGTGGTTCACCCAAAGGTTTGGGCTACGTCCACACTGATATTGTATTTCTCTAAGAGGATTGAGGATGAGAGGGTGAGAGCTTCTGAGGGTGAGAGAGCTCTTCCCATGGCCTAAGAATTGGCCTCTCCCAATGAGGAGAGTGAGGAGTCCTTTTATAGAATGAGGGCTCCTCACTTATTACATATTTGCCCATTCCTTTATTACATAATTACATTTGAGTCCCCCGAGTATTTATACGAGATCTAAATACGGAGGCCCTAAGTATGGTACAAACAGTAGTCCCTCAAGTCTTTAGTCAAGAGAGTCTTTTGGCTGGAGACTTGAAATTCAGTCCATGTGTGGGTCGAAGTAATTAGATGTCGTCTTGAACTGATACTTGATATGAGGCGGTGCTCAAAGTGAAATGATGCTCAACTATAAGTAGCACATGTTGCGAGGGTGCTCGGCTTATGGCTTATGTTGCCTTGGTTGGCTCGGCTTGTTGCGTTGAAGGTGAGGGAGTCCCTTTTATAGAATAAGGGCTCACTCCTCAATACATAAATGGTGGGCTAGAGTTGATGCTAGTGACGAGGCGGTTGCTCAGCTGGCAGCGATGCTCTCTAATAAAGGTGAGAGAGTCATTTTTATAAAATAAGGGCTCGCTCCTCAGTACATGAATAATGGATTAGAAGTGATGCTCACGGCGAGATGGTTGCTCAGTTGGCGGCGATGCTCTCTAATGAAGGTAAGGGAGTCCCTTTTATAAAATAAGGGCTCGCTCCTCAGTACATGAATAATGGGTGATCTCTAATGAAAGTGAGGGAGTCCTTTTTATAGAATAAGGGCTCGCTCGTCAATACATAAATAATAGGCTAAGTCCCCCAAGTATTTTTCATGAGGCCCAGTTGAGGCCCAATATATGGTACATAGTGTAGTCCCCCAAGTCTTCGGTCAATAGAGTCTGTTGGCTGGAGACTTCAAATTGAATCCATGTATGGGCCGAAGTGGCGGTTGTTCAGAGGTGGTATTTGTATACCCTGCACTGAAGCTTTGTAGGTGAAGTTTTACAAGTGAAGCTTTGAAGCTGGAGCTTTTGTAAATGAAGCTTTTGAAGCTAGAGCTTTTGTAAATGAAGCTTTTGAAGCTAGAGCTCTGTAAATGAAGCTTTTGAAGCTAGAGGTTTTGTAAATGAAGCTTTCGAAGCTAGAGCTCTGTAAATGAAGCTTTTGAAGTTGATTGACATGAGTGGTGCTCATGAATGTTTATGTTGATTGACATGAGTGATGCTCATGGATGTTGCCATGAGTGATGCTCATGAATGTTGACATGAGTGATGCTCATGAATGTTTATGTATGATTGATATGAGGTGATGCTCATGAATGTTTATGTATGATTGGCATGAGTAATGCTCATGTATAATTTGAAGTACTGGGCGTACTTTTGATCACCTGGTTGGTGATAATAGCGGCAGACTGCCGAATAATTTTGGAGTACTGGGCGTACTTTTGATCACCTAGTTCGTGATAATAGTGGCAGGTTGCCGAATAATTTGGAGTACTGGGCATACTTTTGATCACTTGGTTGGCGATAATAGCGACAGGGTGCCGAATAATTTTTTGTAGTACTGGGCATACTTTTGGTCACCTGGTTGGTGATAATAGAAGGCCTGGCTCTTTTGGGCATATGGGCCTTCGCCCTCCACATAACATTCCAGCCCATTATTTTAGGCTTGCCGTTTTTTTTTTACCCTCTGATGGGGTTTATACAGATATCTCCGAAAGATAAGAAAAATAAATCACACAATTCAAAAAACAAGAAAAGTAAATCACATCATTCTGGTGGGGTGTTTATTCCTTGCTTTTGCAGTGTGGGTGTTTTTTCTTTGCTTTTGTAGATTTACGTGCCTGCTATCCATAGCTTTTCTGTGGGTGGTCGACAAAATAAAGAAAGCACCAACCGCTATTATCAAATTGCTTCAGCTTTCAACTAAAGAAAGCATAATTCTTTCTTTTCTCTTTTCCTTTTTGCTTTCCACTGCGTCTCTCTCTGTCCACCTCCACCCTCTCTGGCAGACTTGCTTTTGCCTTTCCTCTGCACCTTTGTTGCTTTTGTTTTTGTTTCCCATGTGCTCTCCCCGCTCTTTCTTTGATTTTTTTTGTCGGCAAGACTTTCCCTCTTTTCAAGGCTCAATGCCAACCAAACTTCTAACTAAAGGCTTCAACTTTATGAATTTACAATCACCAAGTAAATAAAAGGAAAGTAATGGCTAACAGTGAAAAGCCAACACAGATTCATCACTCACAGCAATGTACACTTCACACCTAGATTTTGCCTCCACATGGTGGGTAAGAAAGTGCATGACCCAAATCCGACCCCCCATCTCCAACCGTGACTCAATCTGCATTGTGGAACCGACGGGTCCAGCGCCAGTGCCGCTCAACCTGCTTAACCCATCTCCAAAAGTGGGGCCCGGTGGGTTCTGGACCATCCTAGAAGCTCGATTAGGATCGAAGACTGGGAACGACTGGGCGGCGAAGGTGGTGGCCATGAATTAGGTCTGACCCGCTTCGATCTTGCGGGCGGGTATGAATATGAACCCGACTTGGCTACCGGAGTAGATAAGCTGGAGAGTGCTGTTGTAGTGGCTGAAGGCGGTGTGATCGGGGTTGTGGACGGAGACATATTGGGAGAAGGTGAAGTTAACGGTGGAAGAGACATGTTGGGTGTTTCGCATGCGGGGATGAGCTTGGGCCATGGAGTTCACCCACTGCTTTGCCGCGTTGGGATGAGAGACGGAGGTCTTGATGATGGGTCAGCATCATAGAAACGAACGAGTCTAATGAAGGTGGACCAGAGGAGCTTCACGGTGCAAGGAAGAAGGAAATGGAGAGAAAGTAGCGCTCATCGTTTTTTCAAAGCTTAAGAATGGAGATGGAGAAGTTGGGTTTGGGCAGAAACTTCGAGAGTTGGGCCTGGATTTGGGTTAGTGGATCCGGCTGCGTCAAGCGAGCTAGGATAACTATGGCACTGGGCCAGCCTGTGGTATATGATGAGCTTGGTGAGAGCTGAACCTGGGCTTGCTGTAGAATTTGACTAAGATTGCTTTGCTCC